ATATATATATATATATATATATATATATATATATATATGTTTAAGTCATCTTTATGTTGGTGTAAATCTTTGATGATATGAAAAGTGCGTCAGCTTAGCCATTTCAAAAGCTCTCGGAAGGTAACCCCGGTATTTACATTAGTCGTCCGATACACAAATGTTTTTTGTTTTTGTTTTTTTGATTACCGCTAGCACACCTTATTTGGCTAATCAATTTCTGATTGGCTTTTTAAACTAATTACTTAAGACAGCTGAGGAGATGTTTGGGACCTGAAGCAGTGACTTTTTGGAGAACAGAAGAAACTTTTCGTAGCTTTTTTTATTGTTACTGCTAATTTGCATATGTTCTAATGTTACATTGTGCATTTTTTGGGCGAATATGAACTTACTACCCAGATAAGCAGCTGTAACCTGCCCAAGACTAGTACAGTATTGTGTGTGTGTGTGTATAACTGTCTTTGTGTACGACATATGAGTTCATTAAATCTGTCACATCTATATAAAAAGCACAGAGGTGATGTGAACCTTCAGAAGCTCGCCTTTCACCTCAGCCGCCGTGTGTCTGTGTCGCGCACGGCACCTGCAGCAGCACCTGCTTATCATCGAGCGGTTTATTGACCATGAATATGGCCTCCAGCCACCCAATAGCGACGCTCCAGTTTTCCACATGGATTCTGGGTAATCCCATCATTACAATCCGGACACTGGGACCTGAGTCCATTACATTTTTGGAGTCATTTCTCGGTCTAGAGTCACTGGGAGGGTAGTTTTGCTTTAGCGTACGCTTAAATGTAATCTAAAATAGAATTAAACGGCTCCATTCTCCCACTCCTATACATTATCGTCAGATTACTCTCAGATGTTTTCCCTGAGGTTGAAGTCTATCTGTGGGCACAAGCAGCATCAGTCTTCCCATTGATAGTTTCTATAGCAACGTGAACATCTTTGGGATTTCTCTGGCTCCTTTGTTTTGCACTATTATATAGTGACTGTTCAGCCTCAGCTGCCGATTTTGTTTTTCCTTCCTCTCCCCTCCTGTCCTCATTTGAAGAGTAGAGCTTTGCTTCTATTTGATTTGACAGGTAGTATCTCTGCAATTTTGCTGAGCAGAAATTGAAAGCTTTTTCCACTGTAAAAAGTAGTATTGCTGACCTGCTATGTGGCATTATATCTCTGTTTAAAAAAAAAAATGGAAAAATTGTATCCATCTATCTTCCAACCAGTTATCCTAGTTAGCGTCACCGGGGGAGGGGGTGGGGCTGTTGCAGGTATATCCTCGATGGGATGCCAGTCCATCGCAGAGCACACACACCTACATGCTCACACGCCACAGTTATGCACTATGGAGAGCTGGATGCCCCCACCCTGAATGGGAGTATATAAGTCCCCCTTACCATGTGTATTTCTGCATCCAGTGGTGCTTAAGAGACCCACCCAGTATCCCCCTGCTTCCCCTCCCCTGTCCTCTCCTTCCTGTGCCAGGCATCTGCTAATCCACAGTCCCCTGAATGGGTTTGTAGCCACTCTGTGTGGAACGCAGGACTAACGGCCCTTCAGCCAGCTAGGAGATGAGACCAGGAGGCTTGATGTAAGGAGATCCCCCGAACCTGTAATCCTGGGTATGTACAAACATGCACCAATGCAACGTTTAAGAAAGCTCAAAACTGTCTTGAAATCTCGAATTCCTCGAAATAGCTGCTGTATTCCTCCTCTAACAAGGTTACAGCCGGAAATCACCCAACACGTCCTGCCAGCGCTTCTGCAGTGATTGCCGTAGCTGTAGGGCGCCATGCGCCTGCTTTGTCTTTCAATCTCCCGTTTGGTTCATCACAGTCGAGTTTTAAGGGCAGGTCAGGTCTTTAGTTTGCCTCCTTCGCCTTCCTTCTGTGGCAGGTAGTTCTTGCACAATTTTCAGGCGTGTTTTGTTTTTAAATTTCTGAAGAATGCGGGACTGGCGTGCCTCTGAATCATGCTGCGACAGCAACACTGGCTGAGGTCCCCATGGGTTTGGTCAGGATCACCACCTCTGTCGCCAGGAAAACAGCCTGAGACCAAGACACTGCTTCCCTCATGCCGAACACGTGTGAACCACACATGCCGAACACGTGTGCACGCAAACAAACAGCAGCTGGACTTAAATATTCCAAGTGTTGAGTCATTAAGCCATAAATCAGATTCTACTTCCACAAGCATGTATGGTTTACAACATAGATAATTATGGTTTCAAGCAGACACACTCAAACGTTTGCCTAGTTTTGTACATATTAATATTTAATATACAGTTAAAATCTGGACACATTTGCATTCATGCATTTCTCTCTATTTTAGCTGTGTTATTCACCTTATAGTACAAGACCTCGAGATAATGTAGTAATACATATAAAATATTACAACGACCAAGAGAAGTGTTTCAACATCTCAAAATTTTCACAAATTTTAGCCCCCTTTTGGCTTTGATGACAGCATTGCAGACTCTTGGCGTTCTTTCAAGCAGCTTCCAGATGTAGCCACCTGGGATGCTTCTCCTACCGTCCTGAAGGAGTTTCCACAAGTTATGGGCTCGCGTTGGCTACCTTACTCTTCTACTTCGATCCAACTCATCCCTAACCTGCTGTGTAGGGTTTAGGTCGGGGGATTGTGGGGTGGGACATCTGTCACAGAACCCCATCAATTTCCTCGCTCACAGGATAATAGTTATACTCCATAGATACTACCACATAAACAAATTATTATGAAAAACAAATTATTTTCAGTAGGCGTGTCCAGACTTTTGACTGTTACTGTGTGTATGATGTCTGTGTGTGTAAATCAAAATTAGATATAAGCAACTTTTTAAAAACTACTTTTAGGTGAAGGGATTTGTAGTAGATAAAATATAAAGTAGGTCTCTGCTGTCATTTTAAACAAAATCGGCAGATTCCATCAGTAGATATGGAACATTCTCTGTCACGCTCTGTAAATCGCTTCTGAGCTGAAGGTGCGAGTCACATGTGAGGAGGGGGGCCTCCTGTCGTGATCTGAGGGCAAAGTGGTGCCCTCAGATAATGCCTGCATAAAAATAGGTGCCTGCTCCCTCAGAGGCAACCGCTAACTGGGGGGGGGGAGAAAGATCAGCAGGCCCACACCCCCCAGAAGGTGACTGTTTATTACCCTATGCGTAGGAGGGGGGGGGCTCTGGGCTGCCTGCTGTCCCAAGGGATCCGCTCCCAGTTCATAAAGAAAGGCTCCCTGTTCACCGTGTCTGAGGAACAAGCATCTGGCCAGATGTTACCCTAAATACTGTTAGTGTATTTTATTTAGACTAACTGCTCTTCAAAGTTGAGTATTATAGGGAAGAAAATCAAAAGAGACTCCTGGATCTTCTGACATATGGTGGAAACCATTCACAAATCTCAGTCTGAATACTCAGATCTCAATATAAAGTTCTTTTTTCCACTATATGTTATGCACAATATTTGAACCCTATTTTATTTATTTATTTTTAAATCAATGCTAGTCCATCCCTTGAGATTTATACGAACGTTCTGCACATCTTTTCCAGCCTGTCTGGTTATGGTCCCGTTTCCCTTCACCTAATCCTCTTAGTCGCGCGTGTTGTAGCGGCTACTGCTAATCCAGATTTGGTCCTGTTGCGAGCCCCCGACAGAGACGGGGAGAGAGCTTGTATCGCATTAGTAACGCCGGTGGCGTCCAGGGGATTTCAGCGCAGCAGCTCTATCGATGCTGACAATGCACAAAGCTCGTGGTTTTGCCAAGGTGTGCGCGAACAATCACCATGGCAGCGATATAGTTTTCGAAGGAAGATTTAAAGTCCACATCTGCACACTTCCTGCTGGCGCGGTGTTGAATATTGTTTGAGAAACGCAGCTTTTAGAATGAGCTGCGTCGAAAATGCTTCAATATACTTTGTATCAGTTATGTTTACTATTTCGATCTCTGCAAATAATATCTTACTTTTATTACAGTATACAAGATACCGTTGAAACACAATAGCAGTTCCACCCAGTGTTTATAACGTGAAATCTTACTGCCAGCGGCCGAGCCCATTAGATCACACGTACTTCCATGTTTCTGTTCAGCTTCTGCTTTTACCATCACTCATCTCACCTGCGGCGATGCCGGCCCGGTCACACATTTTACACGCTAAGCCTGACGGCTCACGCCTCATTAATAAAAGCCCGATCTTTGTGGAACACGGCCTCTCGAATGTACTGGTTTGGACTGGAAAAACCCGGTGCCCGATGAGGTGATCTGGGTGAAGAGATGCCAAGGTCAGGGGCCAAACAAACATATCAGAGAAGCTTTTTCCAAAAAGCCAAACTGTGGTCAGGGCACATTGATTCACAGACATTTTACGATTACCTGCACAAACCTGAGCTTAACCCAGGAGCACTCACTCCTGCCTCATGCATTCTAGAACAGCATGAAAGCAAGGTTTGCCTAACAAGGGTGAGAAACTAGTCCAGACATTAGTCCTTCGATAGCTCCTTAATCGGTACACTGAGCCTGCAGCCCATCCCAGGAGGAACGGGGAATGAAGCCATAGACACCCAGGATGGGATGCCAATCCACCCCAGGGCTCATGCGGACTCAATCCATCCATCCATCGCCTCTACCTGCTTGTCCTATGCATGAGCACCGGGTCCAGAGCCTGTCCCAGAAGCTACAGCTAGATGCAAGGGAATAACCCAAGATGGGACACCAATCCATCTCAGGGCGCAAGTGCACTCACACTATATGCACAATATAGAGGCACCAATTTACCTGCACTGCATGCATTTGGACTAAAGGCCGCAACCTGTGATCTAGAACACTGTTTCCCGATCCGGTTCTTGGGGAGCCACAGACGGTCCGCGTTTTTGCTCCCTCCCAGCTGCTGGTAGGGAGCAAAAATGTGGGCTGTCTGGCAGGGAGCTCAGAGGTAACAAAAACGCGGACCAACTGAGGACCGGACTGGGAAACACTGATGCAGAGAAAAGCCCTATGAACATGGTAAGAACATGGAAGCTACACACGCAGAGCCAAAGGCAGGGATCGATCCCTGGAGGTCTGAAGCTGGAACACAGAGCCAATCAAATGTAACCAAATTATTTAGCTGGGTAATGAATGAGGAGGTTTGGATAAATCTCAAGGTGCTCAATAATGTGAAACCTACCGCATCTACAGTCCCAGCAAATAAGCTAATAAATGCAAAGGCTTGTCCACGAGAAAGCTTGTTATTTGAATATATAGTATATTAAGCAGTGTGTGTCATCCAAAGGGCCATAAATAGTTTATATTTGACATTTTATTCTTTCACCCATTTACAATACGTCAACCGTACATCTACCGACCATTTGGGACCATAGAAAAATCGATTAATTGAACCATTAATTGTTCTTAAAGTACATAATCATTCAATCAATAACAAAATCCAACAGAAGCTCAATAATAAGTTAATATGAATGCAAATACCCATACTAAGCAATCATCTGGACTTCTGCTGTGAAAAGGGGCAGTAAATGTTTCGTGTATTATGTCAGAGTTTGACAATGAATAGTCCAATTAAACATAAAAAAATCCTTCGAAAAGGGAGCCACACAGTAAACCAGACTGGGCTGGAAGAAAGACACGGGCTTTTTAGTCAGAAGGGTTTCTTTTGTATTCACGCATCCCCGCACAGCCTGTAGTACCCAAAGAGCGTTTATACCCTGGCGTAAGCCGCCTTAAAGCCAAGTGGACGGCGTCGTCCTGCCCCTCCCGACGGGGCAAGCGAGAGGGAATAACTAGCGCCCCCTTGTGGTCGTGGAGGAGGCGTGTGGACGCGATCACGTGAGTGGGATCGAGGGACAAAAAAGAAAAAAAAAGGCAGAGGCAAAGATGTAGCGGCGAGTCTCTCCGCGGCACTGACAGCCTGGGATTACAGCAGCGCTCCTCACGGAGGGACACAGTCATGGCGGGGCTCCACTGACGGGCGGCAAGACGACCCTCCGCCTTCTTCGCTTCCGTCAGTCCGAGCGCCGATCTTCGGTTCGCCCCTTAACACAGCAGCCCAGCGGGGGAAAGACAGGACCGAAGGACTGGGCTCTGAATAAAAGGAAAATCTCTCTCAGTTGAGTGATTTCTTTAAGAGAATGGCGGACCGTGATACATTACCCCTTCCACTGGAGGTGAGAGCCAGACTTGCCGAGCTCGAACTGGAATTATCAGAAGGTAAGGATCAAACACATCTTAATTATTTCCCTTTTTCCTCTTTCATTGCTTCTCTTTCTGGGAATATTAAAGGGACGCCTGTATGCGCGGCTCTTTCATTGCCGTGCGCAGTAAACCGGAGATCTGCAGCGATTTTTTTTTGTTGTATTATGTGCATGATCTCAAACCCGCCGTCGTGTTGCTCATGTCTTGACGCCTTGAAATCAGATCATTGGCGGTGAGCATGAGAGCAATCGGTGCTGTGCGTGACCTTGAATGTAACGCCGGTTGCCGCCGATCGGATCCCCGTTACGCGCTGACTGATGGGGCGACAGTGCGGGGTCGCGACGCGGAAAAGTGCCCGCCTTGATGTTTCAGTCGCGATTGGCGACCGGGACCTGTGCTTAACCCTAAATTATAAACTGACCGTAGTCCAGGAATCAGAAGTACACTCTGAGGCTCGGGGATACAGCCTTTTATCCGATCCCTTATTTCTATCTCTCTCTTTGTTTCTTTTTTAAAAGCAAAGCCCGAAATAAAATGTAACAAAACCCAGGCGTGTTATTTGCGATGCGTGATCCGCGGGGGATTTCTGCAGTTACTTTTTCCCAGAGCCGTTTTAAGGCTGTGGGCGTGCGGGGCGCTCCGCTGGTTCTCTGCAGAACTGGACCATTTAAGGGAAAAAAGTACTTTCATCAACACGGCCAGTGGCACCGGTACTGGCCACTGAGCCGTCTGATCCATGAGCGCTGGTTGTCCTCGCAAAGCCGGAAAATTTGTTTTTGAGTCAAAAAGGGGGATCAGAAAAAGTCTCCCACTCGTTAGCGAATGTACGTGCGGCGGGGTGGCGTGGCTGTTAACGCGGGGGGACCGAGTCCGATCGGCCGCGCTTCTCATTCCGGTGCTGGGGCTTCGGCTTCAGTGAGCCGGGGTCAACTTCCTTTGAAAGTGAAAAATTGCCATTAAAATCCAGGACGGCGCGCTCCGTTTCTGCAAGTTAAGAACCCATTCGCGTCGGTTTTTGTGGATTGCAGGATTTTTTTTTTTATTATTTGTTTTTGTTTGTTGTCGCTTTTCCCTTCCTGTGCTTGTTTTTAAGACACTAATGTTTGACGGCACGGTCACTCATAGATAAATCACACAGCAATGACTGTGAAGTTATAGTCAAATCGCTGTAAAACGTAGCACAAAGGCTCGGATTTTTCTGTAATCAAAGCGGTAATGAGGTGATTGTCATGGTGAGACTCACTAGATTTAAATGATGCTTCTAGCCGACTTTGGATGATGACCCGATACCTTTCCAGGTCTGGATGCAGAGCCGGTACCCTGTGTAACTGTACCTGTTACCTGCACCGTTTCCTGCACGAGGCTCCATCGTGCTTCTCGTACCATGGATTCCATTAATGCCACCATGTCCTGAAGTAGAGAGGCTCGGACACCTGTTATGCTGGATTGACCATGAGGAATGTTGTCCTGGGTGCAGAAGAACCCTGTGATTCATCACACCTCACCTGCAGTAACAGCCATGCTTAATGGCTGCAATTTACCCTGAAACCTATGAGTAGAATATAGTAACAGCTAATCAAGGAGGTGTCTGTTGGAAAGTCAGACAAAGTCAGCTGGTTGAAAAGGTGTGCAACCACTTTCAATTCTTCAAATTTAGGATTTCATGCTAAGCTTATGGCTGTGTCGAAACCATGGCAGTGACATCATCGCCTCAGTATTAATCTCCTGACCAGTGGCGACTCGCCGGTCTGATTTATTCACACGCAGGACAAGCGTTCTCGTTGTCATGTGGACCCCTGCTGATCTGTGCTGACCCCCCCCCCCCCGCAGACTCCTCATTTGACGCCTTAAATATGGCTCCACGCCACAGCTTTCCATCGCCGTTACGAGGAAGACCGTCATCCTCTGTCGTGCGCGGGGCCTGGGATGCGGCGGTAATGGACACGGGCTGATTGAATACTTAGGACTAGGAGGGGAAAAGGCCAAGCGGAAGTTTCCGGGTTCTTGCCGAAGTCGCCGAGACTGACGGCTTACTGTGGCCTGGCAGGAAGCCACACATCAAACGTGAAATGTGTTGGTGAGCAAACGGGCACATATGCAGTGACGAAAAGATGATTTTGAATCCCCCTAAAAATCTGCTTCCACCCCCTGGTCGGCCAAATATAATGACCCCCCCCCACCGATCAGCGAAGTCCACCAAAGAGGACCACCCCCCAATCCACCCTGCCTCCAGCCCCCTTGGTTGACAAGAACTTCAGAAGTGGGCCCCTCCATGTTCGGGGCCCTGTCTCCGGCAGAGCGCGGCCCCCACGTTTAAGCGCGGCCATGTGCGCGGAGACACACGGCCTCCCGTTGCTGTTTACGATCTGCGGCCCCGGGGCAGGGCAGGTTTTCCCAACGCTTCGCTTGAAGTACACGTCCTTGGCCGAAGCGGTCTTTGACAAGGTAGTCTGAAACAGGAGACGGCCTGTTTTCATCTGACGATGGGTTCCTTTATAAAAAGGCCCAGATGTAAAATTATCCTCCCTCCCCCGCAAACTCCCAGGCTGGGGAACATTCTGGCCAGCACCTTGGGGTATTATACTACAAGAGCTGCTAGCCTTAAGACTGCTAGTATTTATTTGGAGAAATTAAGTCTCATTGGATTAGATAAAAAACACAGGATGTGATGTACCGGTGAGGCAGTGGCCAGGTCCCCCGTCCAGCTCCTGTCACTCCCTGCCCCTCGATTCCTGTCCATGTTAAATGAGCGCCACCAACAGGTCGGGATATGGAACTGCACCATTTTGTTTGCTAGAAGGCAAACATAACCTCAGATGATCCCAATCCACAATTGCACTACCCTCGATTGACGTTACCGGCAGGACATTAGTTCATTCTCTGTTGCCTGTGCTCTGGGATTTTGACAGATCGCCATTGTTTTTTTTTTAATCATTATTTTTTTTTAAGAGGTAAAGCGCGTCCAAATCCCAGCGCGGTGTGCGGAAGTGTCAGCAGCACAGCATATGGCAGCGTGGACATTCGGGGCCCTTAGGATGCTGGAGCGCGGGGCCCCTGGAGCCGGCCTGGCCGACGGCCACGATCAGGGGGTCTGTGCCGACCCCCGTGCCAAATGTGACCGAGTTTGTGTCAGAAGCCTGTCGCTTTAAAGCTTCATTTACTGACGTCCTCGTGTCTGCGCACGGCGGAACGCGAGAACCGGCCTCTCTATAAGAGCTTATAAATTTAACCTTTTAAAATAAAAACACAGATCACGCCATCCTTTTATTTCTGAAACTGTCTGAATTTGACACAATAGCGCAGGGTCAATAACAAACATCAATCAGAATAAATACAAATCCGTATACATATTCGCAGCATCAGTAATTCTGTAATTTCATTAACTGGAATGAGGTCGTCTTGTCTTTGTTACCAATAGTAACAGCTCCCCCAAAAAGCATGAATATGAAAATGGGATGTGTGTAATGTTATACTTTTTGGTCCATACAGTGCTGGCACCTGTTAAAGTGCGTGAAGTATGATGTGTAAATCGAGATTTGTGTAATGTGAGGTGTCTGACCTGCAGTCGGGGGGAATCCTGGGATGTTGTCCAGGCTGACCTGGTACGTACAATGGAAGGTCACACCTGAGGTCTGGCTATGACAGTAATGGAACGATGTCCTCCCCCCTCCCACGGCACGGCGATGCCATGCCGTCGCTCGGCCGCTGCGTCCGCAGTGACCTTCGCGCGCCATCCGTCTCCGTGTCGGACGCAGTGACGTTCCGCGGGATCTGCTGGAAGTGCCAGTCTGGATGTGTTAAAGCGATCAGCCAGTCTCAGGCCGCCGGGGGATGGATAGTTATACCGCTTTCCTTTCCGTTTGATTGCCTTTTTTGTTTCTTTAATTGCTCTCCACGCTAACGGGATGCGTACAGACTACAGCTGGTTGTTGGTTCCATTTTATCTACTCCTCCTCCTTTTTGAAGCTACCACGTTTCACCTTAAAATACCGCGGTTATGCCCTGATCTCCAGTGTCCGCTCGCAGCTCTTTCTCGTTCCTGGAATAGCAGTCCCTTCCGCTGTCCCTCTCACGCACCCGGGGGCCACACGCGCCGGTGCCAGCGATAGCTGACGCTCTCTGAGAACTCCCGTGACCTTGCTTCCTGTGGGGGCCCTGTGGCAGGGGGGGGGCACGCTCGTCACATGTTGGCTTGCCGGGGTGCCGTTAGCATTTAGGGTCTGTTCCAGCCAGCTCCAAACCCCCCAGTCCCCTAGGAGAGGGCATATGTACAGTTGCAAAGCCACCCCTGGTGTCCCACGTGCCTTGGCCAGAGATCACAGGAAGCCGACCGCTAGCTATGACCTAGTAGTTTGCTGTCATTGGCTCGAGCTGGGATCTAGCGGCTCACTGTCGTTGGCTGGAGTTGGGATCTAGTGGCTTGCTGTCATTGGGCGAAGCTAACAGTTAGCGGTTCGCTATCATTGGCCGGAGCTTGGAGCTAGCGGCTCGCCGTCATTGGTCAGAGCTGGGAGGTAGCGGCTTGCCGTCATTGGTCGGAGCTGGGAGCTAGCGGCTCGCCGTCATTGGTCGGAGCTGATATGAAGGGGCTGCTATTGGCCTTAGCTGGCAGGGAGTTCATCGCTTTCATTCATGGGCACGGCAGCAGATAATACCAGCTTTACTCCTGTTTAGATAAAAGACCTTTTATTAGTTAAATGTAACATTCAACATGCCCTGTACAGTTCATGTCCAGCTCACTAATCTTCCAGAACGACGTTCCTCATAGTCTTGCAGTGTGGGTGTTACGGACTGTCGGATGTCTGGGTCGCTGGAAACCCGGAGCGTGTTTGTGGAACCCCGCTGTCCTGTCTCAGAACATTCAGGGGATCAGTGCTGCCAACGAGGACGTTTGAGGTGTTTCAAGACGCCATTCCTTTAATTTTTGTTGTCCTCGGTATGCCGGTTCTTCGTGTGTGTGTGTGTGTGTGTATATTTTTTGCTGATTGGGCCCTATGTGTGGATCCAGCCCAGCC